TCCTAGTTGCTGAGCCATTTCATAGTACTAATGTACATATTTCACTAATAAACAAATAACATGCTTCATACTTGAGTGCATGCTGAATTTATAAGGTTTGGCATGTTTGTGATTTCTCAGATGGTTCCACTTGTTAAAACTCTATTTTGCATGACTTGTTTCATAATTTTCACTATAAAGTTATTACTATTGCAATGGGGCCTTTTCTTTCACTATGTCCTATTACAACTTGTGTGTATGAAAATGCTAATTATCATATGTTAATTAATGCTTAACACCCCTTTAAACTTCATAAATTTCTTTTATCTTTTATTTTTTGTTATTTCTCTTTATTGAAAATAGATTTTTTTTCTCACATAACATATCCTAATTTTCTCTCCCTCTACTCCTTCCAACTCCTCTCCATTCCCACCTGGATCTACTTCCTTTCTGTCTGTCACTACAAAATCAACAGGCTTATGGGATAATAACAAAGCATAATATAATATGATGCGATATGATAACACAAAAACTTAACATGGGAATTTGACAAAACAAACAAACAAACAGAAGTAAAGAGCCCAAGAAAATGCACGAGAAACAGACACCCACTTATTTGCACACTCAGAAACCCCATAAAAATCACTAAACTGGAAGCTATAAGATATGCACAAAAGACACTCCTAGAACGGGGCTCCCTGAGCCCTGAGGGGAGGACTCTGATGGAGACATCCTAGTGTTCCAAAGTCTCTCACTCTGTACATAATGTCTGGCTGTGGGCCTCTGTATTGTTCTCATCTGTTACAGGAGGAACCATCTCTGATGATGCCTGAGCAAGGCACTGATCTGTGAGGTTAGCAGAATGTCATTAGTAGTCATTTTATTGTTAATTTTTGTTTTGCTTTTAGACCAGTAATATTTTGTTTTAACTGGGACCCTGAGCTATTTAGTGTTAGGATCTTGGTCACCCAAGGAGTGTCCAGTAAGGGTTCTATCTTATGGCCTTCAACCAAATCAGGTATGAGTTGATTACACAAGCCTTGTGCCATCATTGCCCTGGCATATCTTGCAGGCAGGGCACCATTCTTGATCTAAGGGTTTAAGGCTGGGTTTTGGTAATATTTTGACTTTGGTAGATGCTAGAATGTGGGGCTGAAGGTTCTATGCTGACATGAGCTCAACTTCTCCATGTTCATTGAGTTGTGTAGGTGTTGTCTTTAGCAATTTAGCTTTGCCTTCAGTTTGTAGAGAGCAACCTATAATCTTGGTGCCAGCTGAGTTGTTTGGGGGTTCCCATGGGACCCCTTTGGCCAATGACTCAGTTGTAACTCAATCCTGGTGCAGGAAGTTTCATCTGGTGATGAGAGACGGCCAGTTGGAGCTCTGCTTCCCTCATTATTTGGCAACTTCGCTTAGATCATCTTCATACATGTATAGACTTTAGGAAGCTTCTGCTCTATTAGGGTTTCATACCACCACTCAAATGGACCTTTTAGTCTTTAGCCTCTCCCTCATTTCCTCTTTCCTTTGCTGTCTCCACTCGGTCCTCCTCTTCCAGCCCCCCACCCCATCCAAAGCTATCTATTCTATTGAATTTCAACTTACCTTCCATCTTGTTGTTTTGGATGTGTGCAGCCATGTCCAAATCCAGCTACTACTATGTCCTGGTCCCATAAATTCTTTTTACCATGTCACATTGATGCTTGTCCATCAAGATGCGGTTTCTATGTTCCCACCACTTACATCTATGCAGGGGTATGTGATGTCTGCTTAGTCACACTAAGAGATGTATTTTTAGCATGCGGCTGCAGGGACCCAGCTGTCACATTGTTACAAAGCCAATAAAAAATGTCAGGCATGAAGGAAAGAGGGACAAAGGAGTGTAAATGGGATGTGCAGATATGAACAGAGTGCATGTGTGTAGGAAAACGTCAAAATGAAATCTATAGTTTTGTATGCTAACCAAAAGTTAATATAAAGCAAAGTACAGATAAACATTGGAAAAATTCTTCTAATTATATCATATGGGTGAGTAAAAGAGTTATAAAACAAATATTCTAATTTTTATAAAGAACATGTTGGGGCTGGAGAGATAGATTTGTGGTTAGGAGCACCAGCTGTTCTTCCAGAAGTTTCTGGGTTTCATTCCTAGCACCCACACAGAAACTTATAGCTGCCTGTAACTCCAGTTCTAGGGGATATGACACCTTCTGGCCCCTATAGACACAAGTCACAAACATGGAGAGAGGTTATACATGCAGGCAAAACAGTTACACACTTTATTTAAGAAAATGACAAGTAACCATAGGATAAAGCTGAGCAGTCACTTGGAAAAATCATAGCCTCAGGCGGTCACAGTTGAGAGCCAGCAGCAGTCAGTGGCCATGCAAGTGAGTCAGTCTCTTAGTGGCTGTAACCACCAGCTGTTGTCACCTTCTCAGGTATCAGGAGCCCACAGACAAGTGCAGTCCACCAAATCCTGTGTGTTTGCTAGCCGAGTAAATATAATTTGAACTTAGCTGTAGGGGTGGCTTTTCATCGCTGTTGCTGTTAGCAGTAAGGCATAAGTGGTCCAGATTTTGCATATGTGTGTTTTAAGTCATAAATCAGAAAATCATGACCATTACTCTTCACACTTTAGTTTACAGGGTCTTAAACTTCCTTTAACCATATTAGCAGTTAAGGACCATGCAGCCAGTGCTCCTTTAAAGTACAGGAAGACACACCAATCAATATGCCTCCTTCCTGGTGATAATGCCTGGACAAAGAAACCGTTTAATTTTACTTTAGAAGATGTATATTAAGATATAGCATGTGATGACTAGAGGCATAGATATTTTGTAAACATGAATGGTCTGATTATTTTCTTTAAATTTGAAGGGACAATTTATCTATTATTCATTTGCATGAACGTGGCACTCACTCTATCCTCCAAGGAGTATGACATCGTTACTGTAATGGGACCTTGATGCCCCATGGAGTTTTATACTTACCAAGGCCACTGATATTGAGACACAATTACAATCACCTTAAAAATACTGCTGGCACTGTGTAATAAAAGACAATTTTAATAGCATCATACCACATACAAGGGTTTATATTGGGTTATTCTGGCAAAACTAATCTTCTGGAATAATTCTTGTTAAGTGGATAAGTGGAGTCATCATATTAATATATTTACAATGTCTTCTTTTTCTTTTCTTCTTCTTCTTCTTCTTCTTCTTTGTTGTCCTCTTCCTCTTCCCCCTTCCTTCTCTTCCTCCTCCTCCCATCAGTATTTTGTTCATAGGCACAGATAGCTTACTAGGAGTTTTATAAGAAAATGCAGAGTGATGGCTTCAACAAAGGGAATTTAGCGTCCTCCATTCTAGAGGCTGAAGTACAAGACTGAGACTTAGCTGCTGTAGTTTCTCTCCATGGCTTGCAGTTAGATTGAATTAGGGGCTTGTCAATGAGCCTATTTTAACTTCACCTCCCCTTAAAGGGTGTTATCTCCAAATACAGTCTGACTTACCAGACATTAAGGCTTCAACATGTGCATTGTAGGCAGAACAACACGATTTTTACTTTGGATGTGTCCTTTGTTCAAAAGAGTGAGTTAAAGGCAGTTGTGATGGTAACCACCAACTCAGGATCCTTCTCTCTTTGACGGTGGCACTATTAATTTATAGGAGCTGCCCCAAGGATGTGGTACTGTTTGGATTTCTTTTTCAGTAGATTTTTGCATGATCTTTCCTATGAGGTAAGGAACCAATTTGGCAATGCCCCTCAGGCCACCCATATTTCTGCCAAGCATACCTCTAGAGACAGGACTTACAAATGATTAAGTTCACCATCAAGGAAGTAGGTCTGGATTTTAGAAACCCTTGTTTCATTTGGTTCCTGCTTTTTCCAAATGTCCTGTTTGCAGTCTGGCAGGACAAAGTCACTTTGTGTCTGTTTTGCGATGTATAGGGTAGAGTTGTTTTTTCCTTTGAAAGCTGTCCTGAAATCTAGTTCTTTCAGTGCATAAATTAAATTACTTTATGGCCATCGATATTGATATGTTTGGAGTTCTTCCAAAATATTTTTTTTTTTTGGTCTTGTTTTGGTAAGCATGGTTGTTAACTGAACTTTTCTTTTGGTTGAACTTTTTAATAAAATAGTGTTTAGGATTGGTTATATATTTTGTGATTTGTGAATACATTTATTACTAAAGCATATATCTTCAGATTATCTGCCAATAAACCACCAGGAGCCTCATAAACAATTCTTTCTTTAGGGGATCCCAAGCCTTTTCCAGTAGGGAGTGGGGATAATCAGGCTCCTTTATGAAGCAGTGGATGTAGATAAAATAAAAGAGAACACATTCTAGGTGCCTATGGGGGTGGGTTTTCTAGCACTTTCTAATTTGTATCACCAAGTAAGTAATTTTTAGAATGGTTTTATATTACTTGTTTATCTATCTTAGCATGTACAATCAATATTCATACTAAGTAATATTTTATAACACTGTTTTCTACCTTTCAAGTAACCATGGCCAAGAGTTTATAAGTTAGATTCTTAAAGTGTTCTTTCTGGAATTATGAAAACATGCCACGTTTAAAATGAAAGTCATAGGAATGAATGGGGTATAGTCAACCTACTTTTAACAGGTCTGCTTCAATAGTAACAAATAAGAACAGACACTTCAACCAGGTTGTTAAGACTGAGATGGATCATTCCAACATCACATTTTTATTTTTTTGGTTGATCTTTATTAACAGTAGTAACATCTGCATGTGGGAAGTATTCACATATTAAATAGGGAAATTCAAGCACACTTATCAATTTGACTGAATTGATACTATTACTAACACTGATCACTTGAGGCAACCATGACAGTCACTACAGGAACCATCTATCCTGCCCCTTCTTGGGCCTACATTGTGTCCTAGAGTCGTTATTCCAGCCACATTTTAAGACTAAATATGAATGCCTTGACCCACACCTGCCACTCCAACTTTACCATATTCCTCAACAAGAAACAATCATTTTTTCCCCTTAATTAAATGGAGTTATTATTGTAAAACTGAAAATTCAATGACCAACTTTAGTTTTAAAACTAGAAAAGAGGAAACATATGTCATCAATAGTGAACTTGGATAGAGTACTTAAAACAACAAGGGTGAGTTATTTTCGAGAGCAATGCATCCTATTTTGCACATTTTCGTATCTAAAAGTTGTCCTCCCTCAGGGTCAGGGAGACAGGATTGATGCCATGGCCCCTTTGAGGCTCTATCCTCACTGCTGCTGCCCAGGGCCAGAAGAATTCAAGGGTAGCTCCTTCCTGTTTCTCCTTTTAGACTCAGATCTCATTCCAGCTTAGGCTTCTCTTTCTCTTCTTCCATACCTAGAAGTACAACAGAAAGCTTTATTTAAGCATCAGACGCAGAGCTATAGGGAGCTGCTCCGAGAACCTCTGGCTACCGTCGCTTACTTCCATCCGCCTTTCCATCCTCTCTTTCCTTCTCCTAGTGAAGAAGGAAAGCAATTTACAATGTTTTCTAGAAACACCCTCAGTGGCCTCTCTCCCCACGCTTTCCTGACATTTCTGTGACACAGCCCGATTCTCGAGCTTCTGGGAGGAGGACCCTGGGGCAGGATGACTCCTGACTCATTGGGTTGCGTGATGGATACTCCAGCCGGATTGTTTCTTAACCAGCCCCCCACCCCCCCGCAGCAGGAGCCATGTAGCTGATGCATTTAAACAGCTTCATTTATTTTTCACTTCAGTTCCGTCCATTCTTAAGGCTCGGGATTTGGGTTTCTAAAAGCCTAAGAACTTTCCTTTTTCAATTTTATTTATTTATTTATTTATTTATTTTTCAAATCTCAAAGAGCCTTCACTAGCCATAGAAGCCGTTTCTGCTTATTTGCAACACACACCCTCACACAATTTAATCCTGCCCTCTGCCCCATGTTAGGGCATGAACCTGGAGCCTCAGGCATGCCAGGAATCACCGGACTCAACTATGTTTCTGGCCCCATAGTTGTGCACTCTGAAACTCGAGCTCTGCCTGCCTGCCTGCCGGAGCCACCCCATCCCGATCTGCTTTTCCTGAAGGCCCTGTATGTACTGGGTCAGGAAGGCTTTGTCTCTTGTCTTCAGTGGATGGTGGGTGATGGTTCATTTTCCTGGAGACGACATTGTTCCAGCCGCTCTTGTAAGTTACACTTAAGTCCAGAAATCCCGCCCACTTCTTTTTTCTTTTGCTTCTAGATAAACATTTTTCTAATCTTCCCCAAAGTTCGTGAATACTTCTTGTGTGTTTGTTTCAATAGTGATGAAGAAAAAAAGACATCCGAAATCCTGTCTTTCTGGTCCTGTTAGCGTTCTTTTATAAATGTGGACGTCTACAGGGGCAGAGATCTCGAAGGGCAAGATCGTTAATGATTTCGTCCTTACTTACAGTCCTAGTGCTTGGCAGTGTCTATTTCCTAGTAGCCGTGCAGCCAATCGCCATTGATATTAAATGCACTTAGAGGAGACCTCTGAAAGAAGATCTAGCAGTACACAACATACACGGGCCCCATAATGATCAATCATAAACGCACCCTCAGAGGGCAGCAATTATTCTAGGGATAATTAGGGACCCCCGCCTCCAACAGCTTCTACTCCCAGTTAGCTTTAGGAAGTCTGGAACAGGCAGGCAGTGGGGTGTGGGTCAATGCTCAGAGAAGGTATCTTCTCTTGTAAATTTTCACAGGCAAGGAACTGGCTGAGATCTAAAACGGTCACTAAAATACTCCCCACGGATCACGAGAGGGAAACGTCACACCTAGGAACCAGGGCTCAGGGAGAGAGGAGTTGGAGGAAAGGAAGAGCAAACTTTGCATCTCCGTTGTTGGGTAGGTAGCCAAGGCAAAGAGAGCTAACAATGCAGTTTTCCTTCAGCCAGCACACACACACCCGAGTCCCATGTTTTCTGCACAGGAGTAAAGAAGATGGGGGTAGATGATGGGATGCAAAATAAGTCCTTGTTGTTGTTTGGTTGTCTCTCTCTCTCTCTCTCTCTCTCTCTCTCTCTCTCTCTGGTCTCTTTCCTCCAGAACCTTCTGCTGATGGGTTGATGTGGGAGCAATAGTGGAATCTTCAAAAGAGAACAGAGATGGGGGGATCTCAACTTCCCTAAATGGATCCTCGCATATATTGGTTTTGCAGCCATGACGTAGAGGGTTAAAAAAAAAAAAAAAAAAAATCACACAGCCATTAGCCATTAAGAGTGAAAGAACTGAATGTATTTCCACAAAAACCTAACTAAACCAAACCCAACAAAAAGAACCCATCAGAAACCCATCAAAGAGCTGAGGCAGGCTGTTCCTGTGAACTGACCTGGGGGAAGTATCCACACCTATTATCAAGTAGGGAGATGGGAGATGGTTTCCACTAGGCAGTGATCAGAAAGTGAGAGCCTGAGGCATCCTGGCTGGGTGTTACAGAGAAGGGGCCTAGTCTTGCACATGGGGGCCTGGGTCTGACTCCCTCCCCTGAGCCTCTGGTGCCCATTCTCTCTGCCCTTGCCCAGGCCTTTCGCTCTTGAGCACTCTTGTTTCTAATCTTTTAAAATTTGAGTCCGGTGAGAGCAACCGCAGAGTTGCCGGAGTTAAAACAGAGTCTTTGCTGAAGGACAGAAATGCTTCAGGTGCCGTGGGTTGAATTGCACAATCATATGCCAAAGTCCTGACCCACACTACTTCAGGATGGGAGGGGATGCCCAGGGTGTGGCTAGACAATTGTTCCTTAAAGAAATTAGGCATCTGACTCATGGATCCAAGCAATGGCTGCGGCAGAAGCCAGAACGACAGGCAGCTATCCAGGAAGACCTTCTGAAGGCTGCTCTTTGAGAGGTTTGTGCTCAAAGAAAGTACAAACCTGGACAAAAGGTCCAGACACAGCATGAAACAGAGGACCAATGACACAGAGACTTCTAGTTCCAGTCCCTAGCTGTCCCTTGGCTCCACAGCACCCCCCAACACACACCCCATGATCCCTTTCCAGGATTTGGAGGAGGGTGGATCTTCTGTTCTCCAGGGTTTGGAAAGCAGGGCCCAACCACTCCTTGTGAGCCTTGGGGCTACAGCATCCAGCCAAAGAGGCTTATTCTCAAGCCTTTAAATGAAAGGAAACTTCCCCTTGCTTTCAGACTTGTTTGGGAGCTCTTTGCTTCCTTCCTTCCTCCCATTTGGAAGGGGACTGCACATGCCAGGCCTGCTACACCACTATGTAACTTTGTGTCTAGTTTTATAGGTTTACAAGAACCTGAAAAATGATTTTGTTTTGGCTTGAATTATGACAATACATGGTTTGTAGGTTTATGTCATACTTCAGAAGAGATCTTCCTTCTCTTCTTCCTTCCTTCCTTCCTTCCTTCCTTCCTTCCTTCCTTCCTCTCTTTTTTGGATTGAAGAGTTGATGTCAGAATGGCTTTTGGGAGCTACTGGCATTAGGAGAACATATTTTACATATGTGAAAGACATTTATGGTAGGGGAACGATTACAGGATGAATTATTTAGAGCCCCAAGCGTGTAATGTTGAATTCCTAATCCCTAGTGTCTCACAATGTAATTTTATTTGGGCGAGGTCTTCACAAGTCAACATGAAGCCATTAGGGTGAATGTCATCAAATACGTTCCTCTAAAAGGGGGACCACAGTCAGCCTCTTCCTACTGTTTAAGACACCCAGCTTGTGGCATTTTATTAGCGCAAACACAGTTCTCACAAATCTACATTGAGTTACTTTATTTGAAATGGAGTAAACACCTGGCTATTACTTGAACTTATTTTAAGGCCTTGTATTTCCTGGCAGGCAGGCCTGTTTCATGTTTCTAAAACCCAGAGACATTCTGATAGTTCACTAGAAGCGACAAGGGGCTGAAGCTTGAGCGGAAGACACAGGCTTTGACAACAACTATTTCAGAAGCTCACTTGCTTCAGTTGCCTTTGTAAAGGGGAGGGTGGCTTCAGATAATTCCTAGGACTTACCCCTGCTGTAACAGTCACCAAAGCGTCTTCCATCTCGAAGGTACAGCATACACAAACCCCAGGGTTTGAGTCACTCAAAACCATTAAGGAATTCAGGAAGACATTTTTACCATTTCGGAATTTTATAGTAACAGATTTGTGGGAGCATATTTTATACTGCGTTAAAGAGCTCATCAGCATGTGCATGTACATATACATGTGTATGTTCAGGTGTGTGTGAACACATACACCACACACACACACACATACACACACACACGGGAAGGCCTTCAGTAGGAAGATGCTAGTTTGACACAAACAACAGCTCCTAGGGACTGCACTAAATAAATATAGACAAAATTAATCTCTAAAGAGAAATAAGCTATAAATTGGTGACTAACTTGCATGCCATGCAAGAAAATAACAGAGACCAGTGAAGCTGCACAGACAATTCAGAAAACTCAGTGTCGCTATTCATTTTTAACTCCTTATTCTGTGCAGCTGGTAGCAACATTCTTTAGTCTAGAGTGGATGTTTATCTCTTCTGCCGTTCAGGCAACTCCTCAAGGAAGTAGCGGAGTTATGGTCAAATGTCGGCCAGAACTGAGCAAATCCAGGGGACAGAGGACACCCGAAATTTTTTCCCCGGACTGCACATATTAGCTTAAATCTAACTACAGCTATTCTCCGAAGATGGTGAGGAAACAGTCTTGCATTTTACTTCAAGAACATTTTTAAGGGAACCAAATAATTCTATAATTTAAAAGAGAAAGATCACTGCTTCTGTTGAGTGGAGGAGACGTCATGAAAAGATTAACGTCTGGATCTCCAAGCTGTGGTCTGAAGGGTTTAAAACAGAGGACCATTTAGCATTGGCTGACACATTGACACACGCACAGGGTCTCAGAAGAAGCACACACAAAACCAATCTGATTGAATGGGTGTGCAAGCGCTACTTTATTAGTCAAGTGGTCTGAGATCCTTCACATGGACTGGCCCTCAGTCATGTGCTCAACATTGTGGATCACAGTCCATTTATAGGTGGCATCTAGAATGACCGTGTCCGAGGAGGCGATGTCCAGATCTCTCTGAAAATGCTATGGCAGCCTCTGGATGTGTTTCATGCAGGCTTCAGATCACTACCTGGGCAAACCCTTACTTTTTCACCTCTTAACGCTTATTGTTCTCCCATAGATCTTGGACACGCTTGTCCCAGCTTAGACAAGACGGTGTGAATTGTCAAGAAGGAGGGTTTGCTACAAATAGAAACAAACGAGCAATCAAATCAAAGCTTAAGGGACCTTTAGTGGCAATGAAACCTATTCTTTAATGACTGCATCTCTCTGTGACCTTTCACGCTAGTAAAGGGTAGCCACCAGGACAGTTCTGGCTTCATGGTCACGAGATTCCTTTGCGGCTATGGCATCCATGAAAAGATCTGGTGATTTTTTAATGAGGCTCTTCCAATAACTTACTATTTAATTTAGGGTCCTTTCACTACGGCAGAATTCTATTAATCATAGCTGGCTTTACTTTTGTTTTCCTGTTAACACTGTTTTTTTTTTTTTTTCTGTATAATTTTACAAACATGCTTCTTTTATCTTCAGGTTTGGATGTTTTACCACTTAAGAAGACCAAGTGAGAAATAAACCTTTCAGGTAACACAGCCAGCAGCTCCTAAATTAACACTGTAATAAAACAAAAAGCCAAAGGACGCTGCCATGGAGGGCCTGTGCGGAAGGCTGAAGGAGAGGCTGCTGCAGAAGTCTCCCTCGGCCAAGGCTCTCCCAGGCAGGGCTGTTCTTGTTTCATGTGCTCTGAACGATACTCACTTCTCTGGGTATCCCAGATGTAGCTGTTCAGCACTTCTCCCAGCAGGTAAAGGAAATTCATTAGAACTGTTGTTGACCCAAAGAAGATGATCCTGGCGCCCGAGCCAATATGTTCCAGGAAAGGGTACACCCACATGCCGGTGACATGATGTATCCAGCACACCCTGCATTGGGATTGGAGAGGAGACAGAGATGGAGTCATGGCCATGACAGATGTCAGAGCAGTTGTGTTACGAATGCAAGCCCGTTGCACCAATAAGGAGCTCCGGTATGGCCGGCACTCGGCCTGCTAACATCTTGTAGAATTCTAGGACAGATACTCCAAGCAAGAAGTCAACACCGGTCCATCAGTACCACCCAGACTGCTGCCTTCTTCTTTGCTGTGTCTTTCCTCTGTCCCAGGATCCGTGTCAGGACCCCACACTGCACTGAGTGGCACATGCCCCTAGTCTCCTCCTTCCTGGCAGTGTCTTCTTGTCTTTAATGACACTTAAGAGGCTCTGGTCAGGTATTAGACACTGCTGGATGATTTAATACTGTTATACAATCCTTTTAATCTCTTCTTTATACAATGGAACAATGCAGCATTAGGCAAGCACCCTGTAATAAAGCTGAATGAGTATAGGCCAGGTATCTTGCCATACTGCCTTTCAATGAGACAGGGACGTGAACTGTGTGCTCATCAGCCTGCACACCCAGCTTCCTGCATCTCTGATCTGCAGATGCTGCACCCACTTCTCTAAACATTTGTGCGTGCTTTCTTGGAACCATCTTGTTTCTAGGCTGGATGTTTCTGGCTCTGAGGGAACAGCATCACCAACTAGCATTGATTCCCAGAGCTTAGTTGCAATGTCTGCCTCACTATCTCCATCCTGGCATGGCTACTGGTAGTGGTTTTCTGTATTATTTGGAGTTTGCTATTTTACCAAAGAGCACCGGTTTTGGAGAGTGAAGAAAGTACAAATAACTATTGCATCGGGAAGAAAGGTTATTTTCTATACTTTAGAGTTTAAGAATGTGGACACACCCACACAAAGTCCTCATTAGTGGCAGGAAGCCATGGTTCTTCACTACAGAGCTTGCATTATCCACGTGGGCAAAGCCCCAATCACCATGGAAGTGAACCTCTGGCAGTGATGCTGAAGGCATTTCACTTTTGAAATGAACAAAGCGTGAACATCCAAAGCCCAGATCATGCACAGCACATTTATGGTATTAAAACTTTGTGGTTTAGAATTCTGCTTTATCTCCAGAATAATTAAAAGTGGAGACTGCAGCACATCCATACACTAGCACTCAGAGCAGCCAAATGTTTGAAGCAACCCACGTCCATCAAGAGATGAATGAATAGGCCATGGGATGTATATAATACACAATGGAATGAAATGCTATTTTGTACAAGGAGGAATATAACTTTAGTAAACACTACAGCATACTGAACCTTGAAAGCATGGTAATAAATAAATCACATCATAGGACAGCTTCTGACAGTTCCATTTATAGAAGGCACTAAAGTAGGCAAACTGAGGTATAGAAAGCACAATAGAGATCACCGTGTATTCCATCTACTTCAAAAATGCTCCCCTCAACTTATGTGTTGAAGGCTTAGTCCTTAAAGCAGCAGCGTCTGTGGCAGGGTGTCTGGGAAGTGAAGGGATCAGTGGATTAACCAATCAACGAATTCTTAAGTCAACTGGCTACCAGAAAGTTGAGCAGGCTATAAGATGTGGAGTCTAGTTAGAGGAAATAGGAAATAGGCTTCTGGGCATGATTTTTTTGTTCGTTTGTTTGTTTTAAAGATTATTTATTTTTAAGTATACAGTGTTCTGCCTACAGGCCAGAAGAGGGCGCCAGATCTCATGACAGATGGTTGTGAGCCACTATGTGGTTGCTGGGAATTGAACTCAGGACCTCTGGAAGGGCAGTCAGTACTCATAACTGCTGAGCCATCTCTCCAGCCCGTGGGGCATGCTTCTGAAGAGTACACATCATCCCTGGCCCCTTACCTCTCTCTTCCCTCCAGTCTCTAGGAGATGAGCTACCCTCTAGCTCTATTGCTCCTGCATGGAAGCTGTCAGGCCAGCAGACCACGGACTGAACCTTTGAGATTTTGATGGACAAGAACCCTTTTCTTCTTTCAAACTGCTTATCTCATGAGCTAGGCAACTGGAGGAACGGAGAGTTTGTGTTGAAGATGATAAAAAATTGTGTGTGTGGGGGGATAAACATAATAACTATGACATGTAAGTATACATCTAGAAATGGCTGTTTCCAAGGTATTGACTTACTCAAGCCAACATACTCCTATTAAAACAAAGTTAGCAAAAAAAAAAAAATTTTTTTTTTTAAGCTGAAGCATTTGTGGAGGCCAATAGAAATTAAATTGTTGGAATTAGGCTGTGGAGTTTGATATGTCATGTTTTGATAGTTCATAAATCACTGGTATTTAGATCTTCCTTCTCTAGTTTTAACTAGAGTATGGAGGTTATATTGCAGCCACTAAGTGGCAGCCATGGAGGAAATATGCTATATATCCCAACTTAATGTCATGAGATAGTAAATTATTTTTATATGTCAATTACAAAATTGTGAATTGACTCTGTAAATGTTTCCTCTGCTAGGCAAACTGGGAGGTGCGATTCAACTATAAATGTTAATTATGCTCTGCATACCTGCCCTCTATTCTACTTGCCTTTGGTGGACGGGGCCTTTCATTTGCAGCTCTTAAAGATCACTTGTGGTGCCAGGCCTGAGACTATATAATGTACTTTTGATCTCATTGCAACCAAAATACAATACCAAATGGTATAACCATGGCCATATCCGATGTGTCTTTAGATGACTCATACATTTATATCTCCAGGTGGGATCTTGGACAGATGATAATTCCAATTGAAGCTTCCCATGCCTCATCCCTGTACTCTGGGTCCTGTAAACACAGGGCTTGCACAAGATCTGCCATCTTTTTTTATTACCTTATAAAACCCCCTCTGTGGGATATCGATCCTCATTTCATAAGTTAAAAAAAATGTCTAAGGCCACGTTAGTTAAACAACATAAAAAAAAAAAAAAAAACTGGGAAAGCCAGAAAGACATGCACAACTGATTTCCCTTCAAAATATTATAATTATTCTTTGACAAATTCATACATGTATATGATGTGTTATAATCATACTCACTCCCCCCACACACACACTAATTACCCTTTCTTAGCTCCCTCCATTCCCTCTGTACCATTTCTTCCCAACAAATCCTGGTTCTACCTTCATGCCTCTTCTTTCCTTGAAGGAGAATACTTAGGATGCTTGCATGAGCATGGGCGCTGGGGATATTTGCTGGAGCACGGAGAACTGAACAGTGCCCCCATTACTAAAGGAAAAGCACCTCAGCAGCCATTAATTGCCAATAGCTCTCCAATTAGGAGAGGGGCCTAAAGAGCCCCTCACCCACATTTTTTCTTTTTGGTCTGGACTTGCTTTCCTTAAGTCACTTGATATTGTCTTAAAATATTCATAGTTCTACCCTCATCTAACTTTTTTTTTTTGACTCGGTAGGTCATTAACTTATCCCAGGCATAGATGCCGAAGTCCTGTTATTTGGGGTTACACCTGGATTAGTGTGAATGATATACCCACTTGTCCTAACAGGCTGTGATCTCATCATTTGTTTCCTTGATATTATCACAGTTAAATTCTCTGTGCTAAGATGACTCATGGCCTTGCTCATCTATGAGTGGAGAGTTCTTAGTTCTTGGGTTACTGTCAATTGCTGTCTCATTTTTAAAGCTTTTTTTTTTAAATATAAGTGTCCAAATACCTATGCTTAAGGCAATAGCATTTACATTAGAAATTTTATCCTCAGACATCAACAACCACAGTGTATTGTGCATGCGGGCACATGTATACATAAACACCTGTGCACATATTTGTTAGTATTATGAGGCTTACGGATTATGTTTTATTGAGTGTACTTCTAATCCATTTATTTGAAATTTACCAGTTAGAGAAAATGACACTTATCCATGTCTCTCACTTGAGTACTTTGCAAATAGATCCAGGAGTAAACGAGGCAAAGGTAATGCCTGTCCTTTTGAGTCCAGTCTAGTGGGAGACAAAGCTACTACAAGAGTACTTGTGAGTATGGGCACGATTGCAAAGGTCAGTAGTTGGAGAGCTGGCTCCGCTCTTAAAGACTTACACTCAACAATGGCATAGGCCAGGATAGGAGTGCCATGGGAGCATAGGGCTTATTTCCCACGGTTACACGGTTGCTTATGTTCAATTACTCATCCTTGGATATTCCTTTGACTATTCAGCTTTCTCCCGAGCTTTCAAAGGTGATATGTTCAAACGACTTTCATCACCGTACAACACAAAAGTTTTCAACAGTTTCACAACTATTCCTCTTGGTCTCTCCTCTCCAAGGCAAACCTTTAACTGGTGAATAATCACTGACTCCTCATCCTTACTTTGGATTGCTCTTCCACCAACACGCCTTCATTCGTTTTAAAATATAGTCTTTTATTTTATTTTATTATTTTATTTTATTTTATGTGTTTGAGAGTTTTGCCTGAATGTCTGTCTGTCTGGGCACTATGTGTGTACAGAGCCAACGGAGGTCAGGAGAGGACATCAAATTCCCTGGAACTAGAAGTACAGGTAGTTGTGAGTTGCCGTGGGGGTGCTGTGAATTCGGCACACATCCTGTAGAAAAGTGCCCTAACCACTGGGCCATGTCCAGGCTTCATTTTTGATACCCCAATACCCGCATGCTGGCCGGTTTGAACACCGCTTCTCTCCCTTTTCCATCAATCACTTTGGCCACTCTTTTGCCGTAAGTTCACTATCCATCACTCTATATTTAAATGTGAATTTTATGGTTTTATTTTTAAGTGGAAAACTGGTTGCCTACATGGATGTAAAGGCATTGCATGCTTGTCTGGGGCTCCCAGGGGCCAGGAAAGGGTATCAGGTACCCTAGACTGGTGTTGCAGAGGTTGGGAGTCCCAAAGCCCATGCTGGCAAATGGGCCCAGATCCTGTGAGGGAGCGGTAAGTACTATTAATACTGAGCCATCTCTACAGCCATGAACTTTCCCTGAAGCTTAGTTTCTAACCTTTTTTTTTTCTTTCTTTTTTAAATGCTACCCATTCCCTGTTGATAAA